ATGGCGGAAGTGTCGGAGGATGATGCGTTGGATCTGGAGGTTGCTGGGGTGGTACGTGAGGACGAGGGGGATTCTGTTTTGGTTGTTATTGCGGGGACGGGGTGTGAGGGATGAGTTGCGGGAAATGCGAGAGACACGGTCGAGGGCGTTTTCGACCACTGTGGAGGGGAAGTTGCGGTCCTTGAAAAACGAGGACATCTGAGATGTCCGTGAATGGAATGCCTCATCTCGGGAGCAGATGCAGCGGAGGCGAAGGAATTGGGAATAGGGGATGGCCTTTTTGCAGGAAGGTGGGTGAGAGGAGGTGTATTCTAGGTAGCTGTGGGAGTCGGTAGGCTTGAAATGGATATCGGTTTCCAGGTGGATGCCAGAGATGGCAACAGAGAGGTCCAGGAAGGAGAGAGAGGTATCAGAGATGATCCAGGTGATTAGAAATGTTGTTGTGTTTTACAGGTGTGGATGGAATATAAAGTAGTGATGTTTTGCTGCAGTTGTGCAGGGCACTGGTAAGACCACAGACAATAGTACATTACAGTACCAGACTTCTTATTTAGAAGCAGTTCATAGAAGATTCACACAATTGATTCCAAGGATCAGGGGCTACCTCCCGAGAAAATGTTGTACAAATTGTGCCAGTATACAGTGGAGTTTCAAGAATGAGGTGACCTTACTGAAACACGTAAGATCCTGAGCAGATGTGGAAGATGAGAGGACATTTCCCCTTGTGGGGGTGTCTAGAAACATTCACAATTTTAAAATAAGTGGTATCCTTTTAAGACGAGGTTTCCTTTGCTCTCAGAGTGTCATGAGTCTTTGGAATTATTTTCCCAGAGTGGTGGAGACAGAGTCATTGAATATGTTTAAGGGAGTCAAACTGTGTCAGGGGTAACTAGGAAAGAGGATTGAGGCTACAATCAAATCAGCAATGATGGTGGTGCAGGCTCGAGGGAGTAAAAAGCTTACTCATAGTGTCATACAGCATGGAAAGAGTCCCTTTGGTCCAACCAATCCATGCTGACCATAATCCCAAACTAAACTAGTCCCACCTGCCTGCACTTGGCCCATATCCCTCCAAACAACTCTTAATCATGTAATTATCCAATTGTCTTTTAAATACTGTAACTACACCCACATCAACCACTTCCTCTGGAAGTTCATTCCAGACGCAAATCACTCTTTACTTTAAAAAAAAATTGCCCCCATGTCCTTTTCAAATCTTTCTCCTCTCACCTTAAAAACTTGTCCCCTAGTCTTGAAGTCGCCCGCTCTAGGGATCCTTATCTGTATCCCTCATGATTTTATAAACTTCTGTAAGCTCACCCCTCAACTTGCTACGCTCTCAGTTAAAAAGGTCTCAGCCTATCCAGTCTCTCCTTAAAACCCAAACCCTCCATTCCAGGCATTCCTGGTCAATTTCTTTTGAACCTCTCCAGCTTAACGATATCCTTCCTATAACAGGGCGACCAGAACTAAACATAGTACTCCAGAAGAGTCCCTCACCAATGTCCTGTACAACCTCAACATAATGTCTCAACTCCTATACTCAAAGATCTGAGCAATGAAATGCTAAATGCTTTCTTAACCACCCTGTCTACGTGTGCTGCAAACTTCAAAGAATTATGTTCCTAAACCCAGAGTGCAACTGGACCTTGATCAGATGGGCAAAGGACTGGCAGACAGAGTTTAATTTACATAAATGTGAGATGCTGCATTTTGGAAAAGTGAATCAGGGCAGGACTTAATGGTAAGGTCTTGGGGAGTGTTGCTGAATAAAGAGACCTCGGAGTGCAGCTTCACAATTCCTTGAAAGTGGAGTCGCAGGTAAACAGGATAGTAAACAAGGCATTTGGTATGCTTGCCTTTATTGGTCAGTGCATTGAGTATGGGAGTTGGGAGGTAATGTTGCAGCTGGACAGGACATTGCTTAGGCCACTTTTGGAATACTGCATTCAATTCTGGTCTCCCTGCTATAAGAAGGATGTTGTGAAACTTGAAAGGGTTCAGAAAAAATTTACAAGGATGTTGCCAGGGTTGGAGGTTTTGAGCTATAGGGAGAGTAGACTGGGGCTATTTTCTCTGGAGCGTCAGAGGCTGAGGGGTGACCTTATAGAAGTTTATAAAATCATACCAGGCGTGAACAGCTAATGTCTTTTCCCTGGGATAAGGCAATCCAAGATTAGGTTTAAGGTGAGAGAGAAAAGATTTAAAGGAGACCTAACAGGCAACCTTTCATGCAGAGGATGTTGCTGCCAGAGGAAGTGGTGGAGGCTGGTATAATTACATTTAAAAGGGATCTGGATGGTTATATGAATAGGAAGGATTTAGAGGGTTATGGGCCAAATGCTGGCAAATGGAACTAGATTAATTCAGGATATCATGGCAACTCCTCTGCCCAAGACTGCAAGAAATTACAGAGAGCTGTGAATGCAGCCCAGTCCATCACACAAGCCAGCCTTCCTACCAATGACTCCATCTATACTTCCCGCTGCCTCTGGAAAGCAGCCAACATAATCAAAGATTCCTCCCACCCTGGTTATATTCTCTTCCACCCCCCTTCTATTGTGCAGAAGGTACAAAAGTATGAAAACATGTACCAACAGATTAAAGAATAGCTTCTTCCCTGCTATCATCAGATTTAAGAATGGACCTGTCCTATATCAGAATCGATGTGGAGGTGCCGATATTGGACTGGGGTGGACAAAGTCAGAAGTCACACGACACCAGGTTATAGTCCAACAGGTTTATCTGAAATCACAAGCTTTTGGAGCGTAGCCCCTTCGTCAGGTAAAGTGAGAGAAAAATCACACAGAATTTATGAGCAGAGAGAGATCAAAAGACTGTACAAATGGTGTGAGTGGAGTGCTGAATAAGTCCCTGCAGGTGATCCGAAGTGTTAGCCTGTGAGTAAAGTGTCAACAGCTGAATAACAAGCCAAGGGATGACCTATAATCCAATTAAATGAGGCAGAGAGATAACTACAAAAAAACCTGGTGTCATGTGACTTCTTTGTTAGAGTTGATCTTTCTATGTACGTTCTCTTTAGCTGTTCCATTATCCTGATATACTTGCGTAAAGTATGACTTGTCTGGATAGCACACAAAACAACACTTTTCGCTGTATGGCAGCACCTGTGAAGAAAATATCAGAGTTAACGTTTCGGGTCCGGTGACCCTTCCTCACTTGAGTTCTGAGGAAGGGTCGCCGAACCGGAAACGTTAACTCTGATTTTTTCTTCACAGATGCTGCCAGACCTACTGAGCTTTTCCAGCAACTTCTGTTTTTGTCCCTAATTTACAGCATCCGCAGTTCTTTCGGTTTTTACTTTTCACTATATTCTCAGTACATGTGCCAATAATGAATCAGACCAAATCAGTCTCTCCTTCCTCAGGTGTGGTGCCCAGACCTGGTGACCTGAAAATTTCGAATCTCTCGGGGCTTTACCAGGGACAAATATTTCGACATAATTTCCCACACATTTAAAAAATAAACTTTTTCCTTGCACGGTGAAAACCCGATGATATTGAGGTGGTGGAGAATGGAATCACTCTATCAGATGTGATGTTTGGTTCGCGCTGACCATCTGGAAATGCTTCCTATTGCATATGCTGCAAAAGGAGTGGACAGAAAGCCCCAGATAACAAGGTGGAAAGGGTCCAGACCCGAAACGTCAGCTTTCCTGCTCGGCCTACTGTGTTCATCCAGCTCTACACCTTGTTATCTCAGATTCTCCAGCATCGGCAGTTCCTACTATCTCTGGACAGAAAGCCAGTCCCGGTCTGAACGTTTCGGCTCTAGCACCCGAACGGCGCATGTTCCAGTCACAGCCTCGGCCCCGCCTCCTCATTCACGGGTTGTTCAGGGACCTAGGGGGTGGAGGCCGGACCCACCACCTCGTTCACTCCGATTGAGTGGACACTTGGTCCTCCAGTACCGCCCTTTCTGCCTATTGGTTGGGATATACCGGCGATCAGTCGGATACATATTGTGAATGCTAGCAGGCAATGTAGAGATAACAAGGTGTAGAGCTGGATGTTCGCAGCAGGCCAAGCAGCAAAGCTGACGTTTCGGGCCTAGAACCTATCGCAGGTTGGCTGTAAAAGGCTGTAGGAGCCCCAAGCCGTAAAAATAGAAGCGGAGACAGGCGCAGATGGCTGTTCAGAGGCTTACTAAAAGATTAAGCAAGAGAAATAGGTAAGTCCATAAGAGGAAACGCGAAATTTCAAAGCAGTTGGCAGGAGTTTATCCACAGGAATGAATTTAAGAAAAAGAAGCGACTAACTGAATTGAATATTGGTCCCCAGAACTCGTTACACTGACAGTGAAATTTGTTTCTGTTTCTGCAGACACCAGAAGATATTGTCCATCCACTGTTCCTTGAGAGGTAGATGATGTGTCACCTTCTTGAATCGCTCCAGCCCATGTGGTGAAGGTACTCTCATTCGGCTTCTGAGTAAGGAGTTAGGATTACAGGGAGTCAACACAGTATGGAGCTGGAAGCACCTGCCATGTTCCTCCAGCTCCACGCTGTATTGACTCTGACTCCAGCATCTGCAGTTCTTCGTATTTTAGAATCGTAAGGATCTTCGGCACAGAAGAAGCCCAAGTCCATCATTTCGGCACTGGTCAAAAACAACCAATGAACCATTTTAATCCTGTTTTCCAGCACTGGCCTCGTAGCCTTGTGTCCCTTGGCATCCCTAGTGCACTTGTAGGAGATTACAGCGATAGGGAGAGACAGGGCGATTGACAAACACTCTGGGTTCAATCAGTGAACAAGGGTGATAAGTGAGCAAGACTTGGTGTGAGGAAGCACATGGGTGGCAGGATTTTAGATGATCTCAAAATGACAGGGAGGTAGATTGTGCAAGACCAACCAGGGGTATGTTAGGGTTGTTATGTTGAGAGGTGACAAAGGAGTGGATGAGAGTTTCAGCAGAAGATGAGATGAGACCAGTTGGGCAATAGTACTGAGGTTGGAAGAGATGGTCTTGGTGATGATGAGTATATGTGCTTCAAGCTTATACAGCCATACAGTATGGAAACAGACCCTTCAGTCCAACCAGTCCATGCTAACCATAAATCCCAAATTAAACTAGTTCCACCTGCCTGTGCTTGGCCTGTAACCTTCCAAACATTTCCTATTTATGTACTTATCCAAATGGTTTTTAAGTGTTGTAACTGTACCTGCATCTGCCACTTCCTCTGGAAGTTCATTCCACACACAAACCACTGTGTTTAAAAAAAGTCTTTTTTTTTAATCTTTCTCCTCCCACCTTAAAAATATGCCTCCTATTGAAATCCCCCACCCTAGATAAAAGACACCTGCCATTCATCTTTCCTATACCCCACATGATTTTATAAACCTCTGAGGTCAGCCTCAACCTCCCATGCACCAGTGAAAAAAGTCCCAGTCTATCCAGCCTCTCCTTATAACTCAAACCCTCCATTCTCAGCAACATCTTTGTACATCTCTTCTGAACCTGCACCAGCTTAAAAATATCCTTCCTATAACAGGGAGACCAGAACTAGACACAGTACTCCAAAAGAGGCCTCAACAACATCTTGTACAACCTCAATAATAACATCCCAACTCCTAAACTCAAAGGTCTGAGCAATGAATGCAAGAGTGCTAAATGCCTTCTTAACTACCCTGACTACCTGTGTCACAAACTTCAAAGAATTACGTACCTGAACTTGAGTTGAAATGCTGTGCACTCTAGTTCAATCTCAGACAATGGAGGATGGAGCTGGTTATTGGGGATCGGAGTCTGTAGTGGGGTGTGAAGACAATTACTTCAGTTTACCCAATATTTAAATGAAGTAAATTTCTAGTACTGTCAGTTTCCAATACTGGATGAGAGACAAGTCAGAACAGTCTGTAACTTGGTGTCAGGGCTTAAAGGAATGGTCTTCATAGACATGACTATCCTAGTCCTTTATAATGTAGTGGAGTTTGAGGGTTTGGGAGATTCTGAAAAAGCTTCTGGCAGAGTTGTACACAATAAAATCCCTCACTGTGATGTCATGTCTTTCTCTCTCTCTCTTTCTGCTGCCATACAGAATAGAGTCTTGTGTAGGTCCAAATTGGGTGGCAAGTTCACTTCACTGAAGGACTTTAGTGAACCAGTTGGATTTTATATCAATCTGACAGCTTCCATGATCAATGTTTCTTCTGTGCCAGCTCCACAAATTGCCAGACTCATTCAGCTCCATTTCACAACCTGCCTTTGTGTTTTTGTGAATTCGTTCACTCATTTTGTCTGTTTTAAATCAATTTTACAGAGTATTAGAGGAGAATTTGCAGCTGGGAATCAACTGTCAGGACCTGAATAAAATTGAATTTTAAGCATGGTGGGATACATCACAGTTCACCGGCAGAGTCATACGGGGGAGAAACCATGGAAGTGTGGGCACTGTGAGGATGAATTCAGTTACCCATCTGAGCTGGAAACTCATTGACGCACTCATACTGGGGACAGGCCATTCATCTGCTCCATGTGTGGGAAGGGATTCACTCCGCTATCCCATCTATTGATCCACCAGCATATTCACACGGGTGAGAGAGCATTCACCTGCTGTCAGTGTGGGAAAGGATTTACTTGTTCATCCCAACTGCTGAAACACCAGCGAGTTCATATTGGAGAGAGACCTTTTAACTGCTCAGACTGCAGGAAGTGCTATAAAAGTTCCAGCGATCTGATGGACCATCAACTTGTTCACACCAACGAGAGACTGTTCAGGTGCTCTGAATGCAGGACTGGGTTCAAGAGATCATCTCAACACACCGTACACCAGCAAACTCACTGGGGAGAGGCCGTTCATGTGCTCTGACTGTGGCAACGGATTCACTCAGCTATCTGACCTCTCAATACACAGGCAAATTCACACTGGGGAGAGACCTTTTCAATGCTTGGACTGTGGGAAGCGTTATAAAAGCTATGGGGAATTGATGCTCCATCATCAAGCTCACACTGGGGAGAAACCCTTTCAATGCCCAACCTGCGGGAAGTGTTTTAAAAGTTCCAGTGATCTGATGTCCCATCAACATGTTCACACTGATGAAAGACCTTTTAAATGCCCAGACTGCAAGAACAGCTATAAAAGCTCTGGAGATGTGTTGCGACATCAATGTGCTCACTGACGAGAGACTGTTCAGGTGCTCTCCCTGTGGGACTGGGTTCAGATGATCTTCGCAACTCATTGAACACCAGCGAATTCACACTGGGGAGAGGCCATTCACCCACTCTGAGTGCAGAAAGGGATTCACTCGATCGTTGCTTTTGCTCACACACCAGCGAGTTTACACTGGAGAAAGACCTTTCAAATGCACAGATTGTACAAAGTGCTCAAAGTTCTAACTAATGCGTCATCAACACACTCACACTCTTGAGACCTTTTAAATGCTCAGACTGTGAGAAATGCTTCAAAACTTCTGGGGATCTGATTTACCATCAACGTGTTCACACTGATGACAGACCTTTCAGGTGCTCTCACTGCAGTACTGGGTTCAGGCAATTATCTCATCTCACTACACACTGGAGAACTCATACTGGGGAGAGGCCGTTTACCTGCTCCCAATGTGGGAAGGGATTTAGTCAGAAATCTAACCTGCTGAGACACCAGCAAGTTCACAAGAAATTACACTGATTGCATTCTGCTGTTCATTACACCCAGGACTGAAGCAAACAAAGTAGTCTATTTCTGATGTTAATAACTGCCAGTCTAATTCTCAGGACTAATGTTCTAGTGAGCAGTCTAATGAATCAGCTTTCAATCAGTTGTTCTTTTGAAAAGCTCTCCTTCTAAACCATCTCTTCCCTCCTTCAATGAAAAATGTACGGAGTGCAGAGAGCTGATTCCTTACTAGGGTTTAGACAACCCAATTAGCTGCCTCTGCAGCTTCCCTCTTTTCTGAGAACTCACCGGGCTAAACTGTTGCTGAAGATAACATGTTGGCAAAGCGCTGAACCTGCATTTTCTCCAGTGTTCTCCTCGCTCCCATCATGCCCGTCAAAGCTCATCTCGTCCAAAAGACCCACCTTCCGGTCCATTCCCACTAAACATCCAACTTCATGTTAACTGATATTGTTAACTTGTGTTTTTTTTTTTTTTTTTTTTTTTTGAAGTAAGTTTTATTTCTGGCTGGTGAACTGCAGGACGATTGTCGGGAACAGCAAGGTTTTGTTGGCTGAAAGATTAATCGTATTAGTAAAGATTTGGTCAATGGGCTGAAGAGTGGCAAATGGAGTTTAATTTGGAAAAATGTGAGATATTATATTTTGGTTTTTATAAAAGGGGCAGGACTTATCCAGTTAAAAGTAGTGCCTTGGGGTTCAGGTACATAAATATTTGAAGTTTGCATCCACAGACAGGGTGGTTAAGAAGGTGTTTAGCATGTTTGCCTTCATTGCTCAGACCTTTGAGTATAGAATTTAGGACATCATATTGAGGTTGTTCAGGATGCTGGGGAGGCCTCTTCTGGAGTACTGTGTCCAGTTCTGGTTGTCCTGTTATAGGAAGGATATTATTAAGCTAGAGGGGATTCGGAAGAGATTTACCAGGATGTTGCTGGGAATGGAGGGTTCAAGTTATAAGGAGAGGCTGGATAGGCTGGGACTCTTTTTTTTTCACTGCAGTGTAGGAAGTTGAGGGGTGACCTTATACAGATTTATAAAATCATAACAGGTACAGAGGGTGAAGGATGCCACCCTTAAGCCTGCCGATAAGGGTGGTGCTGTTGTTGTCTGGCGTACTGACCTCTACCTCGCAGAGGCTGAGCACCAGCTCTCAGATACCTCATCCTACCTTCCCCTGGACCATGACCCCACCATGGCACCTCAGGCCATTGTATCCACTACGGTTACAGATCTCATTTCATCCGGTGATCTCCCCCCATCCGCTTCCAAGCTAATAGTCCCCCAACCCCACACAGCTCGTTTCTAACTCCTGTCAAAAATCCACAAACAGGACTGTCCAGGTAGACCCATTGTTTCAGCCTGCTCATGCCCCACAGAACTCATCTCTTCCTACCTTGACTCAGTCTTCTCCCCTCTGGTCCAATCCCTACCCACATACATCCATGATTCATCTGACGCCTTACGCCGGTTTTAAAGCTTCCAGTTTACCGGCTCCAGCCACCTCTTCTTTACCATGGATGCACATTCCCTTTACACCTCCATTCCCCACCAGGAGGGTCTTAGGGCTCTCCGCTTCTTCCAGGAGCAAAGACCTGAACCATTCCCACCCACCACCACCCTCCTCCGCTTGGCTGAGCTTGTCCTCGCCCTCAACAACTTCTCTTTCAACTCCTCTCATTTTCTTCAGGTAAGAGGGGTTGCCATGGGTACCCGCATGGGCCCTAGTTATGCCTGTCTCTTCGTGGGGTACGTGGAACATTCCTTATTCCAGTCCTATTCCGGCCCCCACCCATAACTCTTTTTCCGTTACATTGATGAGATCATTGGTGCTGCTTCCCTCTCTCGTTCAGAATTGGAAAACTTCATCAATTTCACCTCCAATTTCCACCCTGCCCTCACTTTCAGCTGGTCTATCTCTGACTTCTCCCTTACCTTCCTCAACATTTCTGTTTCCATTTCTGGGGATAGACTGGACACTAATATCCATTATAAACCCACCGACTCCCACAGCTACCTGGACTATACATCCTCACACCCCACTTCCTGTAAAGACTCCATCCCATTCTCTCAGTTCCTCCGTCTCCGTCGCATATGTTCAGATGAGGCCAACTTCGACAAGGGAGCCTCCGAAATGTCCACATTCTTTCCCAACCGAGGATTCCCCAGCTCCATTGTCGATAGAGCCCTCAATCGGGTCCGACCCACCTCCCGCACTTCTGCCCTCACCCCTTCTCTTCCCTCCCGCAATAGCGATAGGGTTCCCCTTATCCTCACCTACCATCCCATCAGCATCCACATCCAGAAGATCATCAGGCGCCAGTTCCGCCACCTCCAGCAAGATGCAACCACTAGATACATATTCCCCTCCCCTCCCTTGTCCACCTTCTGCAGGGACCTTTCCCTCCGGGACACCCTGGTCCATACTTCCTTCACCCCCAACACCTCCCCACAGCCCTACAGCACCTTCCCCTGTAACAGGTAAATGCGCAGGTGTTGCGCCTTCGCCGCCTCCCTCCCCAGTATCCAAGGGCCCTAACATACCTTCCAGGTGAAGCAACACTTCACCTGCACTTCCAAGAATCTAGTCTACTGCATTTGCTCCTCACAATGTGGTCTCCTCTACACTGGGGAAACGAAGCGTAGACTTGGCGACCGCTTCGCAGAACATCTACGTTCTGCACGCAAAAAAGACCCTGAACTACCTGTTGCCTGCCACTTCAATGCACCACCTTGCTCCCTGGCCAACATCTCTGTCTCCGGCTTGCTACAGTGTTCCAGTGAAGCCCAGCGCAAGCTGGAGAAACAACACCTCATTTTCCGCTTGGGGACCCTACAGCCCTCCGGACTCAATACTGAGTTCAATAATTTTAGGGCCTAAATTCTCCCATGTCCCAGCCCCCTAACCCACACACCAGGCCTTGTTACCACATAGCCTGCCACTACACACCCCCTGTTGTTAGTCACTAACAGTCCCCATTAACAACTATTCACCCTCCCAGCCTGATCGTTAGCAACTCCCCTGTCTGTCCAACTGTCTCTCTCTCTCTCATTGGGCTCTATCCTATCATTTACTCCCTACCCCATCCACCTCCCTATTTTCTGCATATAAACTGACGTTTTCCCAGCCACCATCAGTTCTGAGGAAGGGTCACCAGACCCAAAACGTTAACTCTGTTTTCTCCTCCACAGATGCTGCCAGACCTGCTGAGCTTTTCCAGCAACTTTGCTTTTGTTCCTGATTTACAGCATCCGCAGTTCTTTTGGTTTTTATGAAGGAATGACAGAACTGCCTCAACCTCAAGAATGCACACCCTGTGCACTGGGGAAGCTCCCAGATGCTTCCTGGTTAACCACTTGTATAGGGAGTGCCATCAATTTCTGGCCTGTGAGCTCCGGGGGAATTTGAGCAGTAGCTGGATTTACTGTGGTGCATCTGTGAGGCTGAAAATTTACGTCAGTAGTACGTTTATAAGTATGCTAACTCTACAGACCTAAAGATGATACTGGATGAGAATAAACAGGTGATATGCAGGCACTCAAAAGGAACTAGGAAGGCAGTATGGGAGTCCCCTGAATACATCCCACCCTCTAACCAGTATTCATCTCTGAATGATGAGAGTGATGGTTCATCTGAAGAGTGCAGCTAGAACTAAGTCCATGGCACTATGGGTAGCTCAGCTGCAGAAGACGACACAAGGAAGACTGGAACAGCCATAATGACAGGTGATTGGATGGTTAGGGGTAAATACAGCAGAACATGGATCCAGAATGGCATGTTGCTTACCTGATGGCAGGGTAAAGGATGTCACTGAGCAGTTGTAGAGCATCCTGAATAAAGGGGGTGAACACATTGAAACCAATAACACTGGTAGCAAAAGCAATTTGGTCCTGCAGTCAGATTTTGGAGAGCTAGTTTAAAAAAAAAAATCAGCAAGCAGGGCCTCAGAAGCAGTAATCTCTAATACATGTGAAGCTACAAATAGGAGGATAAACAGTGCCTGCAAAGCTGATGCAGGGGAAGGGCTTCAGACTCTTGAGGCATTGGAACCTAATCTGGAAAAGATAAGACCTACACAAGCAGATGTTTGTAGCTGGACAGAGCCGGGACTGAGTTCTTTTGGGAATGCTTTGCTAGTACTCTTTGGGGGAGTTTAAACAAACCTGATGGGGTGTAGAAACCAGGCAATAACATCAGAGAGGAATACCAAGGTGCACAGTATTCTGGGAGAGATAGACAGAGAATAATTAGTTAATAGGTGGGGTCAAATTTGGGAGAAAGTAATAAATTGTAAATCAGGGTTACTAAATGCATGGAGTATGGTCAAGGAGATTGGCAAGAACAGCTTCTTCCCTGCTGTTGTTGGACTTCTGCAATGAACCTCTCAAATTTTAAATTTACTGTGCATCTTCTCTGCAGCTGTAACATTGTATCCTTCATTCTGTTCTATTACCATAAAGCACTTTGCATGGTATGATCTGCCTGTACTGCACATGAAACAATTTTTCACTATACCCAGGTACATGTGACATTAATACATCAAAACAAAATAATGAAATGTCTGATCAAATTAAAAGGGAGAAAATATTCCCACTCATGAAATTTCTGAAGGCAGGATGCAAATTTAAGGTAATTAGTAACACAGAAAATAGGAGCGTTTGGCCTTTCAAGCATGCTCTGCATTCAATATGATCTGCTGATCATCCAACTTAGTACCCTGTTCCTGCTTTTTCCCTTTACCCTTTGATCCCTTTAACCCTAAGAAATATATTCAGTGAATATAGTCCTAACTGATCCTGTCTCTCTTTGTATATCAGTTCCACCATCGCAGGAATCGGACTGGTAAGTCTGTGTGGCACAGCCCGTGTATTCAGAACATCCTTCCTCAGATAAGGAGACCAAAACTGCGTAAACTACTCTAGCTATAGTCTCATCAATACCCTGTAAAGTTCCAGCAAGACATCCCGGTTCCTGTACTCAAAACCTCTCACTAAAGGCTAACATACCATTTGCCGCCTTTACCACCTGCATGCTTACTTTAAGCAATTAGTATGCAAGGACACCCAGGTCTTTTCGCACCTCCCTCTTTCCCAATCCATCATCACTCATAATAATCTGCTTTCCTGGTTTTGCTACCTAAGTGGATAAACTCATATATATTCATTTTATATCTCATCCACTACACATCAGTGCACTCACATAATTGTCAACATCACTGAAGCACCCCTCCATCCTCCTCATAGTTAACCCACTCACCCAGCTTAGTGTCATAAATTAGTAAAAAGACACAAAGGTGATAGGAGGAAAAAGTGTTTCACATTGTGAATGGTTGAGATCTGCAATGCACTACCTGATTGTATGGTGAAGCCAGGTTTAATCGTGACATTAAAAAGAGAATTAGATGGCTAGTTGCCAAAGAACAACATTTGGGTAATGAGAAGGCAGGGGAATGGCATTAATGAATGATCATTAGCAAAACTGGCACAGACCCAATGGGCAAATGGTTTCCTTCTGGACCATAAGACATAGGAGCAGAAATAGGCCATTCAGCCCACTAAGTCTGCTCTGCCGTTCAATAGCTGATCTGACAAACTGTAATTCCATCTTCCTGCCTTTTCCCAATAACCCTCGACTTATTTACTCATTGAAAACCTGTGTCTTAAATATACTCAATGAACCAGCCTCAACAGATCTCTACGGTAAAGAATTTAACAGATTCACTACTCTCTGGAGAGAAGACTTCTCTCCTCACATCTGTC